TATATAAATACAGACATTCCATAAATAATGTGTACACAGAAAATACACATACGTACATATACAGACACAAAGGAAATCTGTAGAGTTGCATGGCTAACCTAAAGGTTGCCAGTTCGAATCCACCAGTAGCTTCATGGGAGAAAGATGGGAGACCTTTTGATCAGCTATGAATCAGCTCCCACTCAACAGCAATGATGGGGGGGCGGGGGGGGGAAGACATAAACAAAAACAAAACCCCTCAAGCACAAGAACCAGTTGCTGCTGGATTTGGGTCATGGGGACCTTGTGTGTGTCAGAGAGGAACTGCGCCCCTGGGTCCTGCTGGCTGGGAGCAGACCTCCAGGCCTTTCCTCACAGGCATCCTGGTGAACTCCAGGCTCCAGCTAGTTTTTCTGTGCATTTTAGCCAAGTGCTTGACCGTTTGCGCCATCTAGGGACGATTCCTGAAGAGAACATTCTCGAGTTTCTCCGAGACATCATGTCTGAGCTGCAGCTCTTGGATGATGCCAGAAGTCAGCTATCACCAGGGATGGGGCAGAGTGGGGGGCAGAGTGGGTAACGGAGGGGCCACACAGGTTGTTTCTCCCAGAGTTTCCGGATGGACGTTCTTGTGGACCCCCAGGGATGTGCAACTAAGTGTCGGGACCAGTTCTGATCACTGGTTCATTCTCGCTGGGGGAATGGAGGCTCAGAGAAGACCGGTCACTTGAGCAGGGTCACAGAACCAGAAGGCACAGACTTGCTGGTGCTTGCTGACTGATCTGCAGTGCATGACTCCATGCTTCCATCATGCCAACGACCCCACAGTGCCTTCCTACAGAAAAAAAGCCAGGAAAGAAACCCCAGAACAAAAGAAGCAAAAAGCCACTCCCTGAGAAGTCAAACACTGCTGTGGGGTCCATCCCAGCCCCCAGAATCCACTACTGTGGGGCCCACCTCAGCCCCCTGAATCCACTGCTGTGGGGTCCATCCCAGCCTATGGGCCTTTCCACCAAGTTCCCAAGGCTACAGTTATTTCCCTCCCCTCCAAATATTTAAATTGTGATTTGAGCGAATGTTTACAGATCGTTTTGTTTTTTTCAATCATTCATGCACATTTTGTTTCGTAACATTAATTACAGCATCCACAGTGTCTGATTATCTTTTCACTCCACATCATCTTTCTCTTCACTCTTAACAGAAGCAGACGGTCTCATTTTTCTCCCTTGAATGGTAGTTGGATTCAAACTGCTGACTTTTCCGGTAGCAGCACCGAACTCTAACCCAGCAGCTCGAAGCCACTGGGGCTTTTGAGGATTAAGTTCCTTTTGCAGTTTTATAATCCCTGACGGGCAGACCCCAGGCCAGCTGGTAGGCATTCTTGTTCATCTGCAGTGAACACTCCACATGCTTTCAGCCTATTGGAGACTCTGCTTCTGAGTATAACCAGCATCTGTCTGTCTCGCCCCACCCCGCAGCCCCTTCGTGCAGAATTAAAACCCCTTTTCAAAGTCACAGTCTCTGGCAGGGATAGAAGGAGCCCTGTTGGTGTAGTGCAGAGCATGCCCATGAAGTTGGGGGTTCAAATCCACCAGTAGCTCCTTGAGAGAAAAGCTGGAGAGCTTCTTCCTAGAAAGATTTACAGCCTCAGAAACCTGACGGAGGGTCCCTGTGAATGGATCTGACCCGGGGGCAGCAGGTTAGGGTTTGGTTTGTGAACAAACATTGACCATCCAGGAAGCATGCGGTTGTGTGCTTCTCGTCTGTAAGGACGAATCTCACATACTTGCTGTGTGTATGTGTTTGCCCTATCACAGACGTAAATCGGGTCCCTATAAATGTTGTGGTTCTTAGGTTCTGCTGAGTCAACTACAACTCACAGCAACTCCATAAACAACTGCTTGGGCCCTTGCCTGGTCTTGTGTCATTGTCCAGTCCCCATCACGCTCAAGCCCCTTGGTAAAGGCTTCACATCGAGGTCTTCCTCTCTTCCAACAACCCTCTACGCTCTCAGCAAGATGGCTCTTAGGAAAAAAAAGGGTCCCTTTTGACCACATACCCAAAGAATATGAGTTTAATTGCTCTAAGGAACACCCTGGTCACACTTCCTCAAACAGATTTGTTTGTTTATTCAGCACTTCATGAGATAGTCAACATTCTTCTCCAACAATGAAACGCAGAAATATTCCTTCTTCTTTGGCCATTCCCATTCACTGTCTAACTCTCAGAAGCATAGGAAGCAATTGAAAAAAATTTACCACGATTTGGATCAGGTGCACCTTAGTCTTTAGACTGACATCCTTGCTCTTGTTTACTACTTAAAGATAAGCCCAGGCAAATTCGTGTTTGTCTTGCTTACCAGGCTCTCATCCTGGACCACACAACATCAAGAAGGGAGAGCCAGGAGCTGACTGGAAACTGACTGATCAGACCTCCTCCCTGGGGGAACAGTCCCCGCAACATCTTGGGGCTGATCTTGGTCAAGTCTAAGTCCTCTCTTGCCTCCTCTGCAGGCACTCGTTCTGGAAGCATTGCATGAGGATTAAATGGGGGGGGGGGCAGGAGTCCCTCAACCCGGGGCGCAGGATAAGGGGGGACACTCCCAGGCAGTGCAAGGAGGAGGCAGGCCAGCAGCTAGAGGAACAGCAGGACACCTCCTCCTCTCTGCAGACAAGCCTGGCGCCTCGCGCCCCTCGGGCCGGCCTCAGGGGCTTCCTGGGCATTTATGTCCACGGCCAGCTGCGATGCAGAGAGCAAGCTCGCCCTCCGCCGGCCTTTCCCGGCGCAGCGGCTCGGTCCGCGCTGCCCGGCCGCTCCGCCAGGCGGCGCTGTGGGGCAACCTGCTGCGGCGGGCAGACGCGGCGGACACCAGGTGGCGCGTGGAGACCACAAATGCGCTCTGCGTTCAGGCTGCGTCTCTCCATCCGCGCAGCTCCAATCCACACTGCGCACTCCCAATCCACACTGCGCACTCCCAATCCGCACTGCGCACCCCAATCTGCACTGCGCACCTCAATCCGCATTCTGCAACCCCA